CACTATTTGTCCACAGTTATTGGCCACAACAGTCATCAAATCCATTTTCTCATTCATCAAATCCATCTTCTCGTGCATCTGTTCCAACAAAGCATTTGTCTTGCATAAAGCAAGCACCAAAACTTCCTTCCAGCTCATATTTAGTCAAGGTCAAAAGGACTAATCCCACGATCCTAATCTCAAAGCTGTGGATTCCTCAAGTAGACTGCAGCAACAATTTAGCAAGCTCCCTCTAGAGGAGACAATTTCAATTTGTATCCATCTTTTTAAGACAAGTCCAACAAAGGAAAATTACTTTCATTTTTCAGATATTTTGTTTCTTTAGAATGCAAAAGGCAACGTTGGAATCAGTTTATTTCTCTTCTTTAGCTATCTGTCAAAGTATTCCATTCAGTCAATGAACCTCTCCAACAATTTCTGTCTCTGACACCCCGTTCCCAGGTTAGAGACGATGGAAACTTATCTTTCTTCACTCCCTCTCCTGCAGGCGTTACACAAAGTCCCCCCCCTTTTCCCCTGCTTCCAAGGGGGTTTCGGTAGTTATAAATGAAGGAAATTTAGGCTTTTTTAACGACTTTCCAGGCTTTAGCTTACAAGGTTTTTGCTTCAGTCTATATACAAAAAGCGGAAGGCGGACTTCCTGTTTTGAACCTTCCTGCTTCGATGCCAAATTAAGATATTTCTTGATCCAATTTTCCGTTTCTACTCACGGGTACTTGTTTTAAATCCAATTGTCCACAGGAAAAAGTTAGCGCTCTCCGGCGATGGCTGTGCGGCTTCACTCCGTGAAAGTAGCAGTCAGTTCGCAGCACCGCGCCGCTCACCCCACTTCACTCCGGAATCCCAGAAAGGGGTTCCCCGTGAGTAGGGTGGGCGCTCCTGGTGCCCTGCCGAACCCCACGTTCCCAGGCTTCCTCCGCCTGGGATTTCTAGTGGATCCCCACCTTCGCCGCGGCGGGAAGACCCAGTTTCCACGGAGCCAGTTCCTCTGGTCGGAGGAACTCCGCCATTCGCCGATGGCACTAACCCGGAAGTCTCTACTTTTGATGCATCTTAACAACTCAAACTGTGTGGAGCATTAAAAACTGTGTCTATGTGAATAAACATGTTCTCATTGAATCATGTGCTCTGCAATTTGGAATCCTTGTCTATTAATTCTACAACACCTTTACCTGCCTAGAAAAACTATATCCACTGATTAAGAGGCAGAGGTGCGAGTTTTCCGAAAAATTTAGAACTGAGTTTTCCCCCAATGCATATTAGGGTAATTTGCACTAAGAAACTGTTTGCAACAGACAAATTTCTGATGACTTAAAAACTGATCTAATTTTGCATGTTTATTTCACCTGAATTTAGTAAACAAAGCTAAAAACATCTTTCATGTCATCTTAGACAACAAAGACCTATTCTTTCTCCATATGAGCCCACTCGCCACCTGAAATTTAATCAACAGGTTTTATTTTCTACCCTCTTTACAGAAGTATAGGATGGTAAAGGCTAAGGGTTGTATCCAACAAACTTGTCCATTCAGCACAAGGACTTCTACTTGTGCAACAGAACTTCTGTCCTCTCTTCTCCCCATATGCCCCCACAATCTGTTCCAGAGAGTTGAGGGAAACCCAAAGCAAACTGGGATGTATGCATGGGTGTAGCCAAGGGAGGGCAGGGGGGCAGCTGCCCCACTAGATCAATAAAAATAAATAAAAATACTTAACTGAGGTTCTGCCCCCCCCCTAAAAAAACCACCTGGCTACTCCTGTGTGTGAGAGAACAGGTGGAAAAGTTCTGTTGTGCTAGTGTAAAGTCCTTGCACTAACACAATTACTTAATTGGACACAATCCTAAGCAAGATCTAAGCATTCTACGTCCTGGCCCAAACTAAACACACAAAACTGAGCACAGAAAGAATTCCCTTAAGAACTCACCTTACCTTTATTTTGGGGTTTTTTTTTAGAAATGAGTGGGGCAAGTGGAAAACTGCTTGGACTCATGCTTTCTAGGCACAAGCAGAGTGTAGATGGAGCCTAGCCTTTACCTCTTCCAGGATATTCCACCCCATCACCTCTCCCACAGAGATCCAGCATCCTGCGACTATAACACCGCAGAAGCTACTTAATCACGAATGTGGTCTGCCCTGACTAGCAGAGGCTCTGCAGGATTTCACATCTCCCCCAGCCCTACCCTAGAGACGCCAGGGGTGAAATCTGGGACCTTGCAACGCAGGTGTTCAACCTCCGTCTTCTTTGGGTGCTTCTGCCCCCCCTCTTATAGTGACAAAAACTGCCAAGGGCACAGGACAGGTGTGTGTTGTGTGCTCTGGATCGGCTAAGCCAGCCTTGGGCAGCTGCTGGAAAGGAAAGGGCAGAGGTAAAATCACCTCAGGTACTAGCACCAAATACAGTTCAAGCCTTTCCCCAATGGACGGAATGGGGCTGGATCTCTGCTGTGGGTGTTTTTATTTGCAATGCTTGCGACGGCAACACCTGTTCGCAGCGCAACTTTCGTTTACCTGCATCCCACGTGTCGCCATGGACCAAGCGCACGTGCAGCGCCAACAGGAGCAGCGAAAGGAGCAGCAGCCCGGGCGCCATTAGAGCGCCTCTACCGCTGCTGCTGCTACTACTACTACTACTACTACGCGAGGCTCTTGTGGCTCCTCCCCACTGTGGGCGGAGTCGGCGCCAGAGTTCAACCGTCGTCCCCTCACGCCCCGAGAACAGTTCTGCGCACACTCGGTCCCGCGCGCAGGAGCCGACTTCCCGCCCCCGAACCCCCTCCGCCAATCCCCGCTCCCTCCTCCCCCTCCTCCCTCCCTTTCTTATAACGTTGGTGTCAAGACAATTCTCCTGCTTAGAAAAGCCGGCTCTTGCTTTCAGGTCCCTCCGCTGCCGGTCCCTGCTATCTTATTATACACGCACAGCGGTTTCCTGCCATTGTATCCCCGTTCTCCTCAGGGATTTCCCTCTCCCAAACCATTCCCCTGCCAACCCTCCATGCCCCGTAATGCCCAAGAGCATTCACTGACTTGAAAATGATGGCAGTGTAAGAGAACCAGAGACACAGCTAAAGCTGTAAGGGTAATATTCATAGAATAATAACATTGTAGAGTTGCAAGGGACTCCGAAGGTCATTTCGTCCAACCCCCTGCAATGGAAGAATTTCAACTAAAGCAGCGCATGACAAATCCATCTAACCTCTGCTTAAAAATCTCCAATGAAGGAAAGACCATCACCTTTGGAGAGAGTCCATTCCTGATGTTTAGTTGGAATATTTTTGTGTGTGTAACTTGAAGCTATTGGTTTATGTCCTACACAGTGGTGTAGCAAGGTCAGGTGGTACCAGGTGCAGAAAATTTCTTGTCACCCTCCCCTTTCCTTATTAAAAGAAGGAAAAATAAGATACAGTTGCAAGTGTTATTTTCTGGTTTATTTACTTAACATTGTGAGCACAAGCACTTAAAACCTGTTTTTCACAATGGGAATTTCTTATGAATGAATTTTTTTACTTAATTTCACTGTTTTGCAGCCTACTGTTGATGTGGACTGCCTCCAAGTTCTGAAAGAGGAGCATCACCTCTCAGGAGGAGACAGGTCCAGATGGGGGGTTGCCACGGTGACAAGGACTTGCCCTCCTTTGTGACATCTCTTGCTTTTCCCTTAAAAGCCACTGACTTGCAAGCAGCCATTGTGGGTTAGTAGTGAGGCGAGTGGAGGAGAGAGGAGTTGGTGGTGGTTGGAGAAGATAAGGAGAGGTGTTCATTTGCTTGTTATTGTTATTGTTATTTGATTTATTACTTTTATTTGATTCATTTGATTTTATTTATTTTTATTTATTATTTTACTTTTTATTTTAACTCTTATTTTACTTTTTTATTTCATTTTTTGTTCTTTATTTTCATATTTTTTATTTTACATTTTTATTTTGGGCACATTTGGGCACATTTTGTATATATTTATTTTGTGCATAGAGGAGTAGTTAGGTGTAAGTGTAGGGTTAGGGTGGGGGTTAGAGTTAGGCTTAGGGCTGGGGTTTGGGTCAGAGTTAATGTTGGGTGGGCATTTTAGATAGCTAGTTTAGAGAGGAGAGTGGGAATTTTTAGTGAACAAAATGTACAGACTGTAAGTAGGATTCTTTCCCTTTCTCTTGGTCTCTTGGGTGCGGAGTATGAGTCCTGGGGTCCCGGCACAGCCTTAGCTCTCTGGAAATTGACCCAGTCAGTCTTCTCCAGAGAGCTCAACTCCTCCACTCTTTCCCTGTCTTCCCCTTTTCTCTCCCCTCTCATTTACTAGGACATTCCTAGCCCACTTTCCTCCCAGCAGCTCAAGGTGGCCTTCATGGTTCTCCCTGCCACCAATTGTTATCTTCACAGCAGTCCTGCAAAGTAGGCTAGGCTGGCCGAAGGTCCACCAGGGAGCTTCATGGCTGAGTGGGGATTCGAACCCTGCTCTCCCAGGTCCTCCTAGTCCAGCCTCCAACCACTACACCTCTGCCTGGCTCCACTTTGCATCTCTCCAGCTGCCCTACGACATCAGCCATCTCCCCCTTTCTGGGGGGTCTCTTTGGCTCCAAGGAAGACTCCAGCATCTTCCTCGTGTTCTTTTCCTTTTCTGGGACGCCTTGATGCTTAGAGGACCCTCCTAGGGGGTCTCCTCCCTCTTCAGGAAGGGCAGGGCTGTCCTAAGAAGATGAGGCAGAGCAGCCCTTTAACAGCTGGCAATGCCTCTCTTTCCTTTGGGCTGAGCTCTTGAACCCATAGCACTTGGGGCCTCCTTACTCTCTCTGCCAGCCCTTCGTGCTCTGGGCTGCCTCTATCCAGCTCTGGTGATGCCCTTTCAGGTCACTGAACTGCAGAGAGATGGAAGGAATTGGGCCAGATGCCCCTCCTCACACACAAACACCCCCCAAGAATTGGGGCTGCTCGTCTCTTTGAGGTTCAGGTGCTTAGATGCCTGATCAGCTGCAGCAACAGGGTGGCCCCCCTACAAGGCCTGGAGAAGCCCATGGTGTCAGGTGAGCAAATGGCCTTCCTTTTTGGGACAGAGGAGGGCAGGAATGGTCTTGGAGGGCAGCTAGTCAAAAGATGCACAGAGCCAGATGGCTGGATCCGACCCAAGGTCCATTTGGGCCACAGTCTGGAACACACCCCGCGACCATGCCATTTTGTGGGGTCTGATGGAGGAAGCAGGGGGGGCTGGGGTGTCCCCTCACCTGTAGTAGGACTTGGAATCCAGGAGAAAACTATTGGAATAGCCTTGTCAGGGGCTTAGGGATGTGCTGGGGTTCCACATCCCTTCCCTACGGGTGAGTATTAGATAAAACGAGAGCAGGGAGTGGATCCCTCAGACTTGCCCCCTGCTGCCCGGGCCCTTTGCCCTCCACTCTGCGCTCTGCACTCTCAGATGCGGAGGAGCCCTCCCCCCATGAGGAACTGACAGCCTGACTTTTGCATTTCAGCTGCTGGAGGAAGATCAGCTGTACCTCCTGGAGGTCATCCAGAACTGCCAGGCAGCTCGGCTCAGGGGGCTCCACACCCTGAAGTGCTCCAAGCAGGAGATGGCCCAAGCCATCATGGTGAGTAAGCAGGAGATGGCCCAAGCCATTATGGTGAGTAATGGGTGGTGTGAGGGACCCCCATGGGAAGGGAGGGGCTTTGTGAAAGGGCTTGTGCATCTGCCAGAGAGGAGGACCCTTCTGGCTTAGGGCAGGGGTTGCCAATCCCCTGGCGTTTGGGGTCGAAGCCGTCCTCCGTAGACCCCTGGAAGGAGCTGACTTTCCTCCTCTGCTCTCTTCCAGGACATCTTTGGCCACTTGGAGCGCTTCAGGGATCGCCCCCTGAGCCTGGCCCTGGCCTTGGAGGCCCTCCTCTAGCTGAGGTGAGTGGGGTCTTTGGAGTGGGTGGGGTTGCGGGGTGGGGGGCAGAACTCCAGGGGGAGCTCTGGGTGGGCAAGAGCAGGCAGGAGGGAGAAAGGGGCAAGGGAGACTTGGAGGAGGCAGCGTCTTACTGCTTCCCTTTCTCTCTCCAGCTTCATGAGACCCCATTTCAGCTGCGATATGATCAGTGCTATCCTGCATATGACAATGGAGGCTGTTCTTGGGGGTGCAGAAAAGGAGGAGGTCAAAGTTGTGTGTCCTCTGCTTTGACATCCCTTTGCACAGCTCTTTCTTCTTCTCACACCCTTGCAAGATTTAACCCAGCACTCAACCTCTCTTCTCTCTTTTCCCACAGGAACTGAAGCAGCACTTCCAGAGACTGCTGGGGGGTCTCCTTCTGGAAGCCCCCATTGCTGGCATCCTCCTCCAGCTGCTCACTGTAAGTATCCTGATGGCATCAGGGGTGGTTTTAGGGTTGCCCCCCGTCCCTTATCCAACGGATTGTCCTATTTCTGGGGCATGGAGTCCCCTGTCCCGTTTGGCCCCCAATTTGGCCCAAGACCAAAACTGGCAACCCTCATGATTTGGGAGTGCCAGGGATTCTGTGATGGGGGCAGCAGAGGGCCACTTTGGCCCAGACTGGTCCCTGACTCTGAGGCACTCTTTCCTCCCGCAGGACCTCCCATATTATGCCCTTTGGGGAAGTGAGGAGGGAAGGAAGCTAGCAGCTAGCAGCCTTTCTCTACTGTTGGCCGTTTCACAAAGATTCCCCCACCTCAGAGTAAGTATCTTGGCTTCTTGTATCCCATATTATGCCCTTTGGGGATGTGAGGAGGAAAGGAAACTAGCAGCTAGCAGCATTTCTCTACTGTTGGCCGTTTCACAAAGATTCCCCCACCTCAGAGTAAGTATCTTGCCTTCTTGTATTCATTTCTTTGGTTACTTCTATCCCCCCAAGAGCACACTCCCCAGTGACTTTTAATGCAGAAGATGCAGTGTTCACCCTGATGGCACCCTGGGTGCCAGGATGAGGCCAGAGGCTTCTTCTGCCCCCTTTCCTGGTGTTGTCCTTCCACCTCTTCCCAGGAGGCTGCAGGGCCCAGGGAAGTCCTCTGGGGCAAGGGATTGGGGCCCAAGCCATAGGGAGACCTGTCCTGCCTGGCATGGGGCTGCTTCTATGCTCTCTTGCACCCATCCATGGTGGGGTTCGTAGTGTCATCTGACCCAGATTCTTTTTCCTTTGCCGAAGACAGTAATTCAGCCAGACCTAGCCTGCTTCCGGCAAAATCTGAAAGAAGGTAAGCCCCACACCTTAGGGACAGCGAACTCCCTTGTCCCATGTTTGCCCAAGACACACATCCCAGGTCTCCTGGGAGTCCTGCAGGACCTGCTCCCTGCCTGGCAGGCCTTTCCCACCTGGTCTGGGAGGGCAGCGCCCAGACTGACTCCAGCTACAAAAAGTGGAGAGGGCTGAACAGATTTTGGGTTGGGGTCTTTTTGAGGGGTGGTTCCTGTTTCCTTTGCCCTCCATGGCCTCTCTGCTCAGCAGTCTCCCTGCCTGAGCTGACGGAGCTGGTCTTACAGGCGGAATTGAGGACTCCCCGACTGCTGGTGCTGGCAGACTTTGAAATCTGTGCCAAGGCAGCTGGCTCTGGGGTGGCTCAGGACTTCCTGGCTGCCATGATGACCAACAGGATACCGCCCCAAGGCAGGTGGCCGGCCACACTGGGCAGGAGAAGGGTGATTAAAAGTGGGGGACCTTGACCCTGAGAAATAGGTGAAGTATCTGGAAATATGGTTAACAGCGAAAAACTCCAATATATTTCAAGATAATTATGTAAAGACATGGAAAGATATAAGAATAAATCTTGAGTTATGGGGAAGAATGAAACTCTCTCTAATGGGAATAATTTTGGTTATAAAAATTAATATTTTGCCTAATTTTATTTCAAACCACTCCAATAGTAGGCAGAGCAAGATGTTTCAAAGAATAGCAAAAATATATTTCTAGGTTTGTCTGGAAAGGGAAGAAACCGATAATTAAATATACAATTTTAATAGATATAACATAAAGAGGTGGAATTTAATTGCCAGATGTATGGTTGTATGATGAGGCGGCTTATCTCCCCTTCTCCCCCAAACTGTGCTGCAGTGACTCAGATCAGAGTCCAGCTTGGCACCCACCCTCTGGAGCAGGGAAAACAAGCTTGCTCCATCTTCCACGTGACAGCCCTTGAGATATTTGAACTTGGTTATCTTATCTCCTCTCAGTCTCTTCTTATCCAGGCTAGATATACCCAATTTCCTCAACTGTTCCTCATAAGACTTGGTTTCCAGACCCTTGATCATCTTGGTTGCCCTCCTCTGCAACCATACACAGATACATTTACCTTATTTTTGAGTGATCAAATTGTGCTTCCAAACTGATAGTCTGGGACCACTCAAGCTCAGTTCAAGGAGGAATCATATTGACAATAAAGGGAGAAAACAGGGTTCAGAATAGCATAATGAAAATAATTAATGTTTATCCATTATTTTAGGGGAAAGAACTTCACATACACTTATCATGCCAAGGATCCATGCACATTTTGTTTTTCTAAAATGACATTTTCTACAGTGAAGATAATAATGGCAGATTTCAAATTTTAAGTGTGGTATTGCAATCTGTTATTTTGAATAACATTGCCAAGAAGATCTGCCTATGCCTTTTCTAATTATTGGTGATTTGATGAATTACTAATAGGGCAATCCTATCATTTTACTAGAAAGGGGTGACCAGGACATTTATTTATTTGCTACATTTAAGTACCACCCTTTCTGTAAAACAAGTCAAGGTGGTTTACATTTTATAATAACAAAGGTAAAATCAAAGTCCCCTGATTCAAAAGTAAAAGAAGTAAATTTAGGTACTGACACTTTCATATGGTCACATCATGACCCAGTGTGGAGTGGTCACTGCAGGAGAGATGTGGAGCCAGTAGATGGGACATACTGTCTCTTTCTGATTTTTTAAAACCTTTAAATATTATAAAATGTGTAATAAAGAGGGAAAAAAGTTCATCAAATACAATATTTGTAAGCAGTGCTTTGTTTTTGTTTTTTGGCAAAAATAATAATGAGGTGCTGATACTCATACATTGATTAAAAAATATGCTGCGTTTAGAGTAATAATTCCACCAGAGTTCATTCTCACAACTATTTTCAGCCAGACAAGGATGAGGAGTCCTCACAAACACTGTGATTTACAAGTATCTTTTTTAAAAGTATCCTAAAACATCTGGCCATTATGTTCCTGAAACAGTTTAAAGATGTTTTGAATTAGTATTGTATTTATGCCAGTTTTGGCCTATTCCTGGCAACTGTAAATTGCTGAGTTTAAGTATGCCAGTTTGAAGGGCCTATGGTTAGCAGCCAGTCTTTATAATTTATGTAATATTCCCTTCAAAACAACAGAAGGGTGACCTCATCCATTGTGAATCAGCCAAATGTGAGTTGTAAGGCAGAGGCTATTCAACAGGGAATATCTTCACTACATAAACAGTTAAATCATTCAGAAAGGATAAGAAAATACTGTAGTTCACTTCTGACAGAAACATGTCCAGTTGTCATAATTAAACAGGGGGGTGGCATTTGAGTAATTTTAATCAATAAATTAAAAATTGCAGCAGCTTCAACTTTTAATCAACTTAATCCAAAGATTAATCCATAGATCAATCAACTAAAGCATTATAAACATTGATTTATGAAAAGCTATATGAACACTTGTTTATGTGTAATGAATTGGTTACTTGAACTGATATTTTCCTTGCATTTAAGAATTACACTCATTGCACTTAAGAATCAGCTTTCTGGATCAGAGCAAAGATAATCCTTTTTCCAGTAGTGGCCAACTATTTCCTGCTATGTGCCACCAGCATCTAATAGCAATGTGAATTGCCTTTGAACATAGAGGTTTAATTATTAGCTATTGTACATGATAGCCTCTAATAGACCAGTGGTGGTGTGTGTATATGTGTCACAACAGAGGGGAGGGGAAAGGAAGAAGCAAGAGTCGCATACAGCAGAGAGAGGGGATAGCTAGCCCCTTTAAATCTAAGACTAAACATTGATTTTATTCTAAAAACAACAATTCAGCTATTATTTTGTTGCACTTTTTTATATAAGATGGAACAGAAATTATTGTGTCTGCGTTAGTATTCCAATGAAGAGAGGCTGTGATAAAGAATGTGACTGCTGGCCTCCTGACTCCACAATGATGCTGCCAATGATGTATTGGGAGCTGACTCCGATTGCACCATTTTCGAAATAGCCTCAGATGGCACGAAGAAAGCAGACAGAAAGGCAATTCACAATGTGGGCATAATGTTGCTACTTTCCCAGGGAGCTAGGTTATATCTTTGCATTGCAGAATGATTCCAGGTGAGTACACATTTTTCCTTCATTTTATTCAGAACAAGGCAGTGACTACACATAGATCTGCATTTGTTAATTAAAAAAAACTTGAACCTCTTTCTCATTTTATCTCTCTCATTTTTTTGATGGGGCGACGTGTCTATCTGCAGGATTTGAGAACCTCATGCAAGATGTGCTGTGGTGCTTCAGTCAAGTGAAAGGAACTATTGACACAGGGGTCACAGAAGGTGGGTTTACTTTTCCTTTTGTTCTTGAAATGAAAAGGAACTTGTTTTCTTGCACTAACTGCTTAGTCAATGATGACTTTGTTCCAGCTCTTCTTGTGGTGATAACTTATGCTGCAAACAGGTAGCAATGATGTGTCTTTTTTTAAAGGTATGTTTTAAGGAGGCCTTAATTAACTGTCACTAAAATGGGAGCATGAACCTTTCTGCAAATGCAGAAATCCTTCTCCTCACATTCTTTTTTTTTTTTTTGAGGGGGGTAATTTTCTTCTTTTTCTTCATGTTGACTATATTAGCATATTAACTACTGCACTGTATACAATTTATTGCATTTCTTATCATAAGATATGGAAAAGAGAGAGTACTAAAAAGTGATCAGGAATGATGGGCATTGCAGCACTCAATGATCTATTTGTTCCTAGTAGTTCTGGGACATGTTACAGTCAAATCATGTCCCTCTCTCCTTCTGTCTACTCACAATAAAAGCGGAATATGCCGCCTGCCGTTTTGGGAACAAACTTGAAGGGATAACTGTTCTGGTCTTTGCACCCCGCCCTTTAAACAACTGATGAAATATATGCTCCTGAAATGGAGAAAGTTTCTACCAGCCAGATCCCACATGGGTATAGATTCCAGATGATTTGCAGGGCAAGGGAGGCTTTCCTTCACAATACACTCAGAAGTGGAAGTTGTTTTTTTTCCAGAACCAACTCTTTCTTGCATTAACTCTTTCTACCTCAACCTGTCTCCTAATCTGTTTCCCTACCTATCTCCCAACCTCTATTCCAACCCACTTCAACCAACCCTCTCTCAAATCCTCTCATTTTAAACTCTCCTTCCTGGAACCATAGCCAATCAGAGGCTGCCATTTATTAACCATTTGCTGGCAGCGAAAGAAGGGGGGGGACACTTGTTAATCCAACCAGCCCAGCAAAAACAACTTTTCCGTCACATGTCTCACCCCTCATTGCATAAGCGAGGTTGCATACACCAGCCTCCACGCAGCAATGGGCAGGAACTAAAAAACACTTTGGGGGTTTGTTTCAATTTTCAAATACACTTTAAACCACATTACAAACTTTTGCATCTCAAATAAACATATATCCTGGCACCACCTGTTTGTCCCTTTATCTATCTAAAGGTTTTGTGACAGGGCATCTGCAATTGCCTTATCCTTCCCTCTGCCCTGTTCATAATAAGGTTTAAGCATGTTTACTTGGAAAACTTCACAATGTCCACCTTCCAAGTTTAAACCAACCACATAGTCTACATTGGGGAGTCTACCAACGACATGGAAGGCTTTGACTTTGTTCTGCGGTCAGACCAAAGCGCACTTTCATTCTCTCTTTAAATGTGAGGTAATCAGAGGTTTCATCCTCTCTGAGATCCGAGTATATTTCACTCAAAATTCCACATATCTGAGGGTGCAAGTACAGCATCCAGTTTCCCTCAGGAATGTTTAAGTCTTTACAAGTCCGTTCAAAACTAAATAGGAATGCCTGCACACCATCACCTTTTACATACTTTGGAAACCTCTTTATATTAGCTGAGGAAAAATCCCCACCCCCAACATGGGTTGCGGCAGTTCTGCTCTCAGCTTAATTTCCTCCATTTTTAAAAGAAACATATCTTTTTCAAGGGCCATCTTGGCCTCTCTTTCTCTGTATTCCTGGGCTAATCTGGCATCTCTTTCTTTCTCTTTTTCCTCATGAGCTAGTCTGCTCTCTCTCTCTGCCATATCTCTCTCAGTCTGTTTCTGTGCTAGCTGAATGTCAGCTGTCTTTTGTTTTTCTTTCTCTGCTTCAACTTTAGCCCTTAGTCTCATCATCTCTAATTCAGTACTGTATTAGGATTTTCCTCAGATGCAGCAGCTCCCAGCACTGGGTCATCCTGAGTCTCTTTGGCTTGGTGCTTGCTGGTTATTTTCTGACAGAATTTTTTTCTCCTTTTAATAAAATAACTTCACTACTTTATTGTTATGTATTGGGTTTAACACATTTTAGGTTACAAGGCGTGTTCTAACCAATCGTATAAGCGTTGGTAGATGAACATTCTAATGGCAAGCAAGCGCATGCACTTTCAACTGTCAACAGTCAGTTCATGCTCAACATTATTATTGTGTCGTCCAGTCAGTTCGATTCTTGTTTTCCTATGAGTGAGCTGTTGTCACTCCCAAATGTTGAATAAACGTAGTTGAGGAACTTATACTGCCTTGGGCTTCTGACTTTTCCCAAATATTTAACATTTATTAAACTGGTTGTTCTATATCTCTGGGTATGTTTCTGTGTGGGTTTTAACTTCGGATCATGGCGCTGCCACCAATTAATATGCGACTACACTTTTCTCTCTCATGCTGTTGGGCCCGCTCTCATTTAGATAAATTGCCCCCACCTCACTGAACAGCACTTTATCCGAAGGTTTATTTTCCTTTCCTCTTAAAATTCTAGCCCAGAGTATCCTGTGGGGGAACTTTGTGAGGGAATATTTAGTCAGTTGGAGTCTCAGCCAGGTTTTCTTTAAATAAACAAAAAAGATTTATTTAAGGCAAGATAGTATATAACACAAATGGCTTGAACTTAGGTTATTTCAGGCATACAATACGATTATACTTTGATTTGTTGTCGGTTGCATTTGCGTTATAGGTTTGGTTCCTTTATACGGTGATACTTTCTTTCAGTTATACACACCCTTTAACAATCCTGCTCCTGAGGTACCTTAAGCAATAGACCAAAGGGCTCTCCACACCCCCTCCCTTCACTGGGTTTGGGAGATTCTTCTTTTCCTCAGAAGAATCTCTCCCCTCCAGACTAGATTTGAGTCCCAAGTAGGTTGTTCCTTTCCAGCTCCTACTTCCTGGCTCAGCCTCTGCTTCCCAGTAAAATTCTGGTCTATTCCTCCTACAGGACCCCACACTCTGTCCTTCACAATACACTCAGAGTGGAAGTTGGTTTTTTCCAGAACCAACTCTTTCTACCTCAACTTGTCTCCCTACCTATCTCCCATCCTCAATTCCAACCCACTTCAACCAACCCTCTCAACCAACCAACCAACCAACCAACTCTCAAATCCTCTCCTTTTAAACTCTCCCTCCTGGAACCACAGCCAATCAGAGGCTGCCGTTCATTAACCATTTGTTGGCAGGGAAAGAAAGAAAGAAAGAAAGAAAGAAAGAAAGAAAGAACACTTGTTGATCCAACCGGTCCAGCAAAACCAACTTTTTTGTCACAATGGCCCTTCTCATCTCCTCTGTTGCAGTCCTAAAGTGGTGAGAGCTAGAAGTTGAAATGAGGTTTCTCTTACTGCTGGCTTGCTGGAGTTTGAGGAAGGCCACCTTTTTTGCCACACAGTTTCTACTTGCATTACGGAGGACAAGAATGTTAATCAATGTATATCATTTACCACAGGCTATACATCTCTATTAATTTTGGGTGGAATTCAACATTGCTGTAAGGCCATTTTTCCATCAGCACAGGCATTTCTGCTTGCCCGACTTAATAATCTTCCTCTGTGTGCTGTTCTGGGGGTTCTTCCAATCCCCAAGAGCTGACTTGAAGGGTGCAGGGGGGAGGAGACAGGGGGAGCTCTATTGCACTATGGGAACTCATTGTACTTGTTACTGCTAGCACACCTATTCAGCGCTCCATGACATGTTTGGACAACTGGGGCACAAATAAAACTATTATAAGTAAGACTAGGTATGCACCTTCTAGAGTACTGGGGATCCAAGCCAGAGGTATTTGACCCTACTGTATTCCCCTGCTGCTGTTTTGTGTTTTCCACTGGATGTCTTTGATTTCCTACTTTCAGTTTCCAGGGTGGAGGGGAGGCCTCACTCTGCACATTTGCTATGAGGGATTAGTCCTTCCCCCAATTTCACCCACAGCTCAGAGAATCCTGGGATGATTTCATGTTGTTTGAGCCATTGCATTTCTATTGTCCTAATATTGGGCACATGAGGCAAGTCAGCACCATGGAAAGTTCCAAATGCTATAAAGGGGCAAGCCCCTGGCTTGGAAACTGAGCACTTCTTTCTGACAAATCCTTCCAGGCATGTTGCCTACATTGATGGGTTGGCATGAAGATGCAAGTTCTTTGAGTGAAGGGGATTAATTCCTCAGGCAGGGCAGGATCCGAAGGTAGGGACTCAGGCCTGTTTGGTCCAGATGCTAGCATTAGATTTTTCCTCCCATGCTGCTGCTCTGAAGGATCCGGCCACACCTCCATTGGAGTCAGATCCTAGCCTGCTTTCTCAAAATGGGGTCCCATTCTGCTTAGGGTTCAAAAGCTCTCTGAAGATACCAAACTTCCACTATTCCAACAGTTGCATGGGGTCCTTTGTTCCACAACTTTTAAACTCTGCCATCTGCTAGTGTAAGGGCTCTTGTGTTAGCAGACAACCCTTCATTTTTTAGTGATTTCTGGATGCTATTGTATACTGTATATGTATACAACTTTGTAACATATTACTGACAGCTGGGAATCAAGCCTTTAAAATCTTGGATACCTTGGATATCTGACTCTACAATATCATTGGATTTGGCTGTGAGCCCAACTTCATTGGCTTCTTTTTTATGCTGCTTGCTAATTGCTTTCACAGTTTGCACTCTGCCGTTTGCATAGAGAGTAAAGTGCTATTAGTTAATGCAACCTAAAATTTCAGCCTAAATAATTAAGTAAGAGCCAGCTACCATGAGACTATGGCTATTTTTGTGAATATGATTTTAAAGTAGAGTGAATTTACTCCAAGGGAAAACTAAACCACCAATTATATATACTGTAGCTTGGGGTGGAGGGAGAGGACAGGCAATGTTTAGGGGAGCAGATTTAAATCCATAAATGTGTTCTAGGGTAGACCAAAAACCATGGGTGTAGCCAAGGGGGGCAGGGGGCAGCTGCACCCCTAAATCAAGTAAATCAATAAAAATACTTGACTGAGGTTCTCCCCCCAACAAAAAAACCCCCATAAATCCTGGCTACGCCCATGCCACCCCACCCCCCCATATATTTCAGGTTAAAGCTAAACCCAAACCATTTCAGTATTGATCTGGAACAATTATTGAGATCCTGTGTCTTGGAAACCAACCCTTTATCTATTTATTTATTTTTATTTATTCATATTACTCTTGAAGACAAATGTACATATTTTTCGTTATGCTTTCTTTCAATACTACTTCCTCTTCTAATCCAGTTTCCAAAGAGATATTTCAAGCAATTTCCCCAAAACAATGGCATAAACAATGTCTTAGGGAAGTCCTTCTTAGCACTTTCCATTTATCAAATATAGTAGGTAATTTCAAAGCTGACAGTGCTAAACAAACGAGATTCAAGCAGTGATAATTTCCTTGAATTGATATTACACATTTATTTGTCAGGAAAGCTGGAGGCAATGCTCTGAGTAGTACTAAAAAAGGAAAAAGAGATTGAATGAATATAATTTCATATCCAGGTGTATATAAAATATTTAAGATAATCTGTGTGAAGTACTAAGTGCCAATTCAAGATGCATTAATACTTGGTTTATTGCATACTTGTTCTTTCAATCACATTTCTACTTATGCACGCGGCTGCTAAGCACATTCCTGTTTGTGTCAAGAAAACCCAGAAGATGTTCAACCAGCATGTCCTGGATCTGCACTGTAGAATTCAAGAGGGTGATAAGTTCCTTAGGGTCAAACTAGATGCAATATTAACTGTATGTAAGCAATTAGCATGCATGGTTCTGAAATTTTAAATTTCTGCAATTAGAAAGGAGAAGCAGGTTTGCAACTATGGCACATTGTGATGGGAATAGCCTCCCCTCACCCCAACATCACCCCCAAAGCCATTAGAACCAGGAAGAGAAGTCCCATGGGCATATTGATCTTTCTGAGCAAATACCAGGGATAAACCAATGTAATTGCGATAAAATCCTTTCTAGAATATCTTTAAAACAATCTAGTGCGGTGGCTTAGAATGTCAGCCTTCGACACCATGGAGTCATTCAGTCATTCCCTTGCCTCAACCTCCTTAGGTAGCAAGTAACAAACTTTCAGCTTCCACTGTCTCATATGTACTATGGAAGTAATATCACTGACTCACCTGGGTGTGAAGATTATTTAAGAAAATACAGTCGTACCTTGGAAGTTAAACACCTTGCGACTCAAACGTTCTGGCTCCCGAATGCCGCAAACCCGGAAGTGAGTGTTCCGGTTTGCAAACGTTCTTTGGAAGTGGAGCTTCCTGCAGCCAATCGAAAGCCGTGCCTTGGTTTCCAAATGTTTTGGAAGTTGAACGGACTTCTGGAACAGATTCTGTTCGACTTCCGAGCTACAACTGTATATGCAAAACTTTGGATGTGAGAAAGGCACTATATAGAGGTTAAATATTTCCCCCCCCCCCCCGTGCTCTTATTTCTTCTATGCTGTGTAAAGTACATTAGCACAAAACTGTGATGCTAAAAGTAATTGAAACTGCAATCCCTATGTACATTTCTGCATAGACAAGGTGGAGGCTGGTTATAACATTTGACGAAAGTCTACTGTAGACCCTTGATTTTAAGTTTCTTCCCTCTCCTGAAGCCCAACCCTATTCATGTTACCTGGAAGGTAAGTATCACCGGTTCCAAGGGAACAAGTCACACAGGACTTAATTTCGAGCACGCATGGCTAGATATGCACCGTTCATTAGCTGTCCTGTGACACTTTCCTAGGAGTAAACCTCATGAAATACAGTAGGGCTTCTGAGTAAACGTACAGGGGCTCGCGCTGCACAGCTGCAGTCCTCTGTGCCCTAACTTGGAAACAGGCCCTACTTTAAATCCATGAGCTCAGATTCTCCAGTTAGTTCCTTCCCGAAAATCTAAACAACTTCTACCGGTAGCCATGTTGTGCTATGAGCCATTCCAGCACCACCACCCCAAAATATAAGGGGAGCGGTGGGAAGGGCGGGCAGCTCCTTCTCGACCAGCCAAGCACCTTTAAACGTGCGGAGGAATTTCCCTTTCTGTAACAGGTTCCCCCCCCCCTTCCCCTGCGGAGGAAACGTCTTTTGATGCCCAGGGCTCTCCGCAGAGTCCGGGACACGATCCCGCGCCCTGCTGAGCAGAGCGAGGCGCTCTCCGGTCGCCTCGCGCGTGTGTTTACAGGCGGGAGGGTCTTAGTCAGCAAATCCTGCTCCGATGCGCTGCAGCCAATGAGGAGCCTCGTTCGGAGTCGGCCCGCTCGCCGGGGGGCTCCGGAGTTGGCGCTGCTGGGCGCGGGCAGAAATGCGAGGCGGCTCTCGCGGGCGCTGATGGCAAAATGGGGTCGGGCCGCCGCCGCCGAGGCGCTTTCGCTCCCGCCGCCCTGCAGCTCTGCCGGGAGGGCTGCCGCGCTGCGCCGTCGTCCACCATGTAGCCTCCCTGGCCAGCCTGAGGATCCCTCCTCCTCCTCCTCATGGATTGAGGAGGCTGCGTTCAGCCCTCATTTCTTCATATTTGTCGCCGGAAGATGAAATGCTTCTCCCGTTACCTGCCTTACCTCTTCAGACCTCCCAACACCATCCTGTCTTCCAGCTGCCACACGGAAGGTACAGGTCGGAGAGGAGCGCCGGCGGGATGGTGGGTGGGACGCCAGGTGCGATTCAGAGCCGAGGGGAGGGGAAAGAGGGAAAGTGGGAGGAGAGCCTCCCCCCCCCCGCTCCGTTCCCCCTTCCTCCCTGTCTCTGCTGACATTGCCTTTTGCAGCCAGTGCGTGCTCGGGGCGAGGGGGGGGGGGTGTGCCAGCAAAAAAGCTTGCCTTGCGACAAGATTTGAGGAATCTGTGGGGCCTGGGTGGGGGGCGGCCCGATATTCCCGGCGAGTCAGCCATTTATCAAGGAGAATGGTGCAAAACATTACAGCATCGGAAAGGTCTTCTGGACTGCAGAACTACGATCCCCCCCACCTTAGTTACCGTACTTCCTTTGCAGGCCGGGTTTCCATCGAAAACATATCGTGCAAATCTGTTTACAGACTGGGGAGAGGATGGGAGGTTAGCTGTGCAGATCAGGTATATGCAATCTGTTTTGCCAAGGTTTCAACTTGAGAAGACTGGAAGGGAAAGTAATGTTCAGGATTCTGGAGCCTGGGAGAATGCTAGGAACTTTTGCCATTCTGGGGCAAGTTTCTCTACTACTAGTTTGCATGATCTGCTGTCAGGAATTTTTATGAATTGCCATTGATGCCACACTCTAATAACTGATATAGAGTGTACAGGAAGTAATCATGGAGGTAGTCAGGATTTTTGTTTGGAAGGGGCAGAAACTGAGTTTGCTATGTATTTTTATTGATTATGGGGTGGGCAGCTGCTCCTCTCTGCCCCCCGCCCCGCTACACCCATTGAAGTAATACTGAGACTGTCATACTATACAAAGATAGAAGGGGGAGAATCACATTTTCTTTAGTCATAATAGAAGGTGCTTGCAAGAAGAATCTAAGTTCTAAAACTTACAAGCAGTGTTAGAGATTTTTCCCCAGTGTAGATTTTGTTTCTTTCCATGTAGCAGAGAGTAGAAGCCCTCCCTATGAGAGCTTTAAATGAGTGTTTAAGTATTGCGGAGATTGATGCTGTCAAGACAGGAATGCAAGCAGACCATAGCATATAATTACAGCTAATTAAATGTTAAAGCAGCAATAAGTAGAACTAGGAGCACAATCCAATAGTGAGTTGTCTTTAATCTTTACATCTAAAGCCACTTTAGTTTAGCTTGGTAATTTATGACTAGAAGATGGAAGTAAATGATAGGCAATAGATCGGTCTCTAATTGTCCCCATATCGGCTATCCAAGTATTTAATTTTTTTTAAGTGTTTGAGCAGGTTACGTGGGTCACATGGGGCATCATTCTAATCCAATAAACTGTTTTTATAGTGGGGAACCTTTTTTCAGCCCGGGGGCAGCGTTCCTTCTTGACATTAGGGGGAGGTGCATGCCAGTCGTGGGCAGGCCTAGAAGCCAAATGTGATTGAGGCAAAGGATGTGATGGATTTTTGACCAGTAGGCTGAATTCTAGCCACGCAAAAGCCACAGGTTTCTCTATCCCCCAACACACATTTATTTATTTAATAAAAGTTAACATTCTGAAACATAAAAACTACCTCAGCTTGGTAGGCTTGTCTAAACAAGCATGTTTTTAACATCGTGCAGTGAAGGTGCCTGCTTCCTCTCAATTAGGCAGGGAGTTCCGCTGCCACACGAAGCGACCAAGTTCTTACAAATGTGGAACGGATATTATGTGGCTCGCAGATCAACAACCATTGCAGATCTCTGAGCACAGGTGTTGCAGTAGTGTAGCTAGGAGAGGCGAGGGTGGGGTGCTCTCGGCAGCACTTATCTTTGGGGGTGGCACACTAGAGCCCAAGGTGGCGTGCAAACCCCAAGCACCCCAGAGCCCAGTGCACCACTCCCAAAAGCAGCATGGCTCACAGTGGCCAGAGGGTGGCCAGCAAGGATGCAAGCAGCATGCGCTGACTCTGTGAGCGGAGCTGGGCCTGTGTCATGCCCGAGCTACCACGTTTCTCCCGGGTGTCCTCTCCCCCCCCTTTTTTTGCAGCCATTTATCTTATGCTTAAGAGAAGCTTCCCATTCTTTCAGAATTCTTAAATGAGACCTTCACTGAGGTTCTGCACTATGTAAATTAGATTATAATTGATTAATCAATTCAGTTGTTAAAAGCAGGAGCGCTAATCAACTCCATCATCTTTAATCAGATCCTAAAAACAAAAATGACCTTAAAATGATACCCAATTTTCTTCAAATAGTACATTCTGTTTTGTTCCCAAACCATATTTCAGAATGATCATCTTATGTTGCGTTCTAGCCATATCCACTCTAAAAACATTGTTCATTCCTGGTTAGACAAGCATACCCAGATGCTTAGAAAATTAAAGTAATTTTAATCTGTTTTAGTGCAGAGAGATATACTGTAGTCCAGCAACAGCTGGGGAGTAACACGTTCCTCATCCCTGCTGCATTGTTTTTCTTGTTTACCAGTAAAGATTTGGAATCAACCAAACATTTATTAGATTTTTTTAAGCTCAGGAAGTTTGGTGAGTCATTTGGATGAGACTGTTAGACACCAAGGTCATTGTGGTTGCTCATGTATGGAAGGATTCATATAATGACTTTAGGACAAACAGGCAGTCTGTGTATTCCATAGTTTACAGAAATAAATGTTTCAAGTTGATATGTTAGGTAACGTGTGCCATAGAAATCCAAGGGAATTCTGGAAGAAGAGCTTAGCCGTCTGATGGTTTCTTAATAAGGGGGGGGGGGACCTTTTGTTTAATTCTTTCATCTCACTCGCTAAGTCGGTATTTATAAACTCAGATATTGTAAGCAAAGTGATACCAGGCTGAACTATGAAGTGACATGTTTGCATGGCTTTGATGGCAGCTCTTACCAATCTCTGTAGACCTAATTAAAGGCGTATAATGATGACTCCCCTTCCCCAAGCCATGGCATGAGTGGAAAATGTACTTTCAGAAGAATATACCAGCCCAACAGATTGGAGGAGATATCATATTCATGTGGATATGGAGAACATAATGATACCCTTATTGGTGTTTGCATTATTACAGTAATATAAAAATGACATCCGTTAAAACAAGTAATATTCTATGTGTCCACACTGCTGAATTATCTAAATCAGAAAATGGAGGTGGAAAGAGACCACCAACACCCGGTGCTTACATCAGTCCTGCCCTATGAGTTTGGCCTTTGCCTTTTGTTCATGCCCAGAAGAGATATACAACATGGTAATCGCTTGATTTGCTTGTGATCACCTATTTGGTTAGTAAGTCCTTTTGAATCCTTTGTGGCTTCATTTTGGATAAGCATGGCTAGGACTGGGTTTCCTGTATCCTAAGATAATGCCAGGATAATACAGGGAATAAATGGATTCACTTTCAGCTCTTTTTATACCTCTGAAGTTTTTATCACAGCAGCTTAAAATAGCTTTCAGGTTATCCTTAAATGCACAAAATGTGCTTCTTTTGCTTTTGTGTGTGCAAAATGCAAAGGAGCGAAATGAAAGGTAATCAAAATGGCACATGGTGTTTAATGCTTTCCTAGGACTAGTTTAAGCCCCACTGAGAACAGTGGGACTTCTGTAGGTTTAGGGTGATATAAAAGTAGAATACTGTACAAAATATAATGCAAATCTAGAAATAAAGCAACAGCAAACCAAATTACATCCAGAAATGAGCACTTTCAATTCCCATATTCATAATTCTCCCATTGATCCCAATGCAAGTATACAAGGACATTCCTTTGGCTGGATCATGGCCATTAATAATACCAAATTGCTTTTTACATGCAGGTTTTATCAACAGTCATAATTTTATTTTCTATAACATGTCTTGAACCACAGCATGAAAATGAACTGTAAGCATTAAATCAATTTCGTGTCAGATTAAACCCGGGATTTAGAAAAATATGCTATATTTATTTTCAGTAAGAGCCTGACCTCTCCAAGGGTAAAAAGCACATTATGAACACAGTGCAGAATAGGACCTGAGGACATAAACCATCCAAAGTGCAGTTTTTACCTGAAGGTCAGTGAGGTTTACTTCTGAATAAACATGCCTAGGCTCGCCTACACAAATTCCACTTATTTCAATGAAAGAGATTTACAGGGCAATTATAGGCAAGCGTACACTGTAATGCCTAATAAAGGTTTGGTGAAGTAAGCAAGCAAGGCATGTGTACAGCAGTCAGAAATAAAATCTACTAAGCTCAATAGGTTTTACTCTCAGGTATAGGTGGGACGTGGGTGGTGCTGTGGGTTAAACTACTGTGCCCCTTGGGCTTGCCGATCAGAAGGTTGGAGGTTCGAATCCCCGCAACGGGGTGAGCTCCCGTTGCTCGGTCCCTGCTCCTACCAACCTAGCATTTCGAAAGCACAAAGTGCAAGTAGATAAATAGGTACTGCTCCGGCGGGAAGGTAAACAGCGTTTCCGTGTGCTGCTCTGGTTCACCAGAAGCGGCTTAGTCCTGCTGGCCACATGACCCGGCAGCTGTACGCTGGCTCCCTCGGCCAGTAAAGTGAGATGAGCGCCACAACCCCAGAGTCATTTGCAACTGGACTTAACTGCCAGGGGTCCCTTTACTTTTACCTGGTTTGCCAGAAGCAGCTTAGTCATGCTGGCCACATGACCCGGAAGCTGTACGCCGGCTCCCTCAGCCAATAAAGCGAGATGAGCGCCGCAACCCCAGAGTCGGCCATGACTGGACCTAATGGTCAAGGGTCCCTTTACCTTTACCTTATAGGTGGGTTATAGGATTGCTGCCCTTAGCATATGCTTAATTCTCAGTTGAAATGAGTGGGACAAAACTGATTAACTGCAACTGGAATTCTCACCAAGTCTTTGAACAAGTAGATTTATATTACAAATGCTATTGCTATGGCCATTACCTTAAACTGAAGACAGGTGTCTAGTAGCTCCTAAGCTAGAACTGGCTTCCAGTTTTATGTTTATTCATTTAGTGGCTTTATATACCACTGTTTGACTGGCAGCTCACAACATTTATAAATGCAATGGGTACATGAAGAACAACCACAACTGAAGCCAGCCCAGCAGCAAGTGTCTGGTGCCATCTTCTGCCTCCCACTCTGTTGTGTTCGTTCCCACTTAGCTTATCTGACCTCTGGGTTTCCTACCAATTTTAAATCGAGGTGCGTTAAACATTTGGTTTGAAAGGGAAGGCTTTTCAAAAGTTTTGTGAGAGATGGAAGGAAAGTTCACGCAACATTAGAAGAGTAGAATAGAGCCTCCCCTCACCATCCCAAAGAGAGAAACTTTTAATTCAGCAGTCCTGCTTACTTTGCCCAACCAATTGTCTCTGCATCTGATAAATGTTCCCTAAAAAGGTATCCAGTAGGCAGTCCTGATGTAAATATAGCTTCAGTTGGTGGAGGTGTTTCAGGAATTTATTCCAGTTTGTAGCTGCCTGCCCCCAGAAGCCTCAGAGTGGGTAACAGTACAGTCATACCTCATGTTACGTTTGCTTCATGTTACGTTCTTTCAGGATATGTCCCGCGGTGACCCGGAAGTACCGGAAAGGGTTACTTCTGGGTTTTGCCACTTGTGCATGCGCAGATGTGCAAAATGACATCATGCGCATGTGCAGAAGCGGCGAATCGCAACCCGCGCGTGCGCAGATGCGCCACTGTGGGTTGCACTCTTTTCATGTTGTGAATGGGCCTCTGGAAAGAATCCCATTCGCAACCAGAGGTACCACTGTATTAAAAATTCAATTACTGTAAAAACAAACCATAATAACTTGAATTATAGAATCTATGTTAAAAAAAATGTTAAAATGTTGCTTGCTTTTGTTATTCCTAGCCAGTGATTTCTCTCTGCCCTACCCCCTGCATAGAACAGAGAGGTCTTGTAGTGCTTTTCAGGAAATTCCTGTCAGCTTGGATGAGGAAGTCTATTCCAGAACCAGGAAGATGCCATCAAAATATGCTGATGCCACTTTAACAATGAACAGTAAAAGAGATATCAATAAACTTGGTTTCCCTCATCTTTCACTAGAACTAACTGCCAGAGTAAATCCCACTATATATTCATTTTATTATTTCAATCTGGTGCACCTGGAAAGAGGGCCAGAATAGCACAGTGTAACTCTAAAATCCTTTGTCAGCATACCTATCCAAATACTGAGCTGTGTATGGAGTAAGCCAGAGACTTTGGACAATAGAGACTGGGGTGGGTCGGCCAAGGAAGGGAGAAATACTGGAGTGATATACGTTTTTAAACAGCACCAGAGAGCCAAATGTTTGCAGAGTTCTTAGCGATCAGATCAGATTATAGCATTCCATGAATGAGTGCATGTTGCTGTTCTAAGATAAAACAGCCAGAGCAAGAGAAGTTTCACGAAATAAGGAACTACTGGAAATAAAGACCAACTACAGCAGGCCAAAAATGGAACAAAACTAGAGATGGGAACACAGGTTAGGATCCACTCTAGTAGGGAGGGACTGCTGTGATGCCTTTTTGCAGCCCATAATGTGGAAGCAAGGATATTTACCCCATCAGGTCCCAAGAAAGAAAGAGCCTGGTGTTGTCATCCTAGCTGTTACGGCAGTGCTGACAGAGCTACTGGAACATTTTATGAGAAGCAAGCGGGGCATGTTCTTGCTAAGCTGCTTGTCAGTTCCAGTAATCTCCCTATAAAATATTCTACCCAGTGTGTTATCTATAGTGTTGCTTTATGCTTGGCAAAAAAACAATTACAACTACTATTTGCGTGTGTTGGCTATTTAAGCCTACAATCATATACACCACATAGAACTCAGTAGGACTTCTGAGCAGACATGGATAGGATTGTGTTGCTTTGTGTCCCCCCCCCCCCCCAAATAACCATCAGCCACTGGAGACTGTTGAATAAATGTTTCAGTTTTTAAGGTAAAATTTAAAAATAAGATTTCCTTATAGTTTTCTAGTATTACTATTTAAAATCAAACCCTCAAGATTTTCCTTAGCTTCCATTGCTGGAAGTGCTATATAGCTTTCTTCCAAAGGGGCAGTTAAGTTAGTAACTAGCGACACTTTAAAAGGGAACAGGTTTACCACCATGGCATAAGACAGCAGTTTACAACCAGTGTGCTGTGGCACCCTGGGGTGCCTAGAATGAGGGTCAGGGGTGCCACAGGCAACATTGACCTCTGTCCCTCTTTCCTTCCCTCCCTCCTCTGATGCCCTCACTTGTCTCTGTCTCCCAAAGGCTTGCACAGCTGTTTATTGCAGCAGCCCCAGCTATAAGCTCCACAGGCAAATGGTGCCTCTGGGAGGCTCCTCTCTTTGGGGTGGGGTGGGGCAGCTCAGAGACCAGGGGTGGCAGCAGCAGCTACCCAGAGGACTCCCCAGGAGAGGGGAGAGGAGGCTGAGGGAAGACTCCACAAGGGAGGGTATTTGAAAAGGGTGAGAGGCTGCCAGCTCTGCGGACAAGGGGTGACATAACTGGGCTCCTGAGCCCCACAGGGGTGCCGCAGAAAGAATGTAGTTGGTTAAGGGAGCCGTTGAAGGTTGAAAACATCTGGCATAAGCTTTCATGGGTCCTCCTTAGCTTTCTTTTGCAGGTAGCTGTGCAATGAGGGCTGTTGCTGCAATCACATTGAAGCCACAAACCCTGGTGTACAGAGGCTCTCCATTAATAATAGACAACACTTACCATCCATGCTTGGGAGAGACAAGAACTCCAGACACATGGCGAGAACTAACTGTGCTCCTGATCCAACTGAACATGCCTTTGCTTGCCATTGCAAGCACACACACCTCAATCTGGTCATTTGATTAGCACTGGAAGAGACATAGGACTCCCTTCCATCTGGTACTGTCCCACTAGTAAACTGATCAGAGTGCATACACAACCATATATGTAACAACTATTCTTGTACCCAAATGTAAACAAGTTAAGAACAAAGTGACCCAATCACATTTGCTGTCACTGATAATAGTGTTTTATATGTTGTGGATTGGGAGGGGGGGGTGTCAGTCTGAATGATACCCATGAATCCCTTCCAAACCTGTGACCCTGTGTGTATTAGTTTAGACTTTAGAATCTGTAAGAGGAACCTGCTGAACCAGTCAGACCAGTTTATTTGTAAGATAATGAATGGCCTGGTGCATTTAACAATATCTTGCTATCTATACCATTATACTTTAATACCTGTAGTGCGGGGGGGAGACTTCACAGCCACATTTCCCATCTCTGAACAGATATGTATGTCTGTTTATTTATTTCATAAAATGTATACACTGCTTAACTCTAAAAAAAAAACAACCTTCAAAGCAGTTTACAAAAAAAATAAAACAATAAACTTGTGAATAAGAAGAATTAATAACAATTTGTGGACAACATACATTTGATGAAATAAGCTCTAGTCTACAAAACCTTGTTATCCAATAAATGTATTAGACTTTAAGGCGCTACAATACTCTTTCTTGGTTTTTATATAATCTTCTGTATTCTGATCATGCTTCCTGAAGTTCGGCACATCTCTCTGTATTGTCAAGTTAAGCCGCTCAATACTACAGAAAAATCTGTACAGAAACTTGCAATAGAGTATAGACTTGTGCTTCATTTTGCCTGTCAAATGTGTCTTTAAAAAACCCAACCACCTTACAGATCAATCAATAAAGGCACAGGGGAGCTTTTGGGGAAGCTCAAAGACACACAAGAAATGAGAAGCTTTCAGCTGAGATGATGAGCTGATAAGAAAAATACCCAAAAAATCTGTTTCAGACCTTAAGACAACACAGGCAAGCAGAAGCAGTAAAAAAATTATTTGAGACATAATTGTGCAACCTGAATTGTGCAACCAGTGTGTGATTGCAACTATTTTAGGGTGGAATTCAAACTAGAAGTACTTAGAGAAGCTGGGACTGCAGAAAGAAGCCTCAACAGAGGAGAGAGTATAAATTGTCTTTCCTGCCCTCTCCATGGCTGCTACCATCACAGACAACTATTGAATCTGGGTGGGGGAGGGAAGACTAAAACCCCTCAGAGGAGAAAAGGGCATGGATAAGTAGAAATGACTGTGAAGGGGTAAGACTAGCTTGGTAAGACAGGACAAGGACCAGACTGGTAAAAGCAAAGTGAAGGAGGCAGTAATCTTTTTTGAGTGTGGTAGGGGATTGAGCTGTGTTTCAGCCATGCCTTTTGTCCCAGAAGCCCTGCTCCCCTCCTTCTCTTAATTGTAAGTATGTGGGGCCAGCCAAACTGGTGCAGTTGTTCAGTCAGGGGTGATGGAACACCACTCTGTGCATGCTGGAGACAGCTTCCTTTCTTAGTACATCACTGTCTAGGATTCAGGCACTACACAAATTAAGCTTGAGGAGTGTGAAATTGGCAAGGGGGAGCACAAACCATGAGCTCCCTATAGTGTGAAGAAAGTGGGAAGCAGTGGCGTAGCGTGGGGGGTGCAGGGGGGCCCGGCCACACCGGGCGCAACATCGGGGGGGGGGGCGCTCGCGCTCGCAGCTCTCTGCCCCTACCTGGCTCACTCACTCTCTCTCACTGCAGTGCTGGCTGTGCGAATCCGATCCGAGCCGCTGGGTCGCCGCCCACTGTGGTGTTGATTTAAAGCAGAGTCTGTCGTGCCCAGCGGAAGGATGAGGAAAATGTGCTGCATACTCCATATTGCTTTATTTACAGTTCAAAGCAGGTATATTACAGAAAGACATCTTGCCTCTGCCAAAGCAGAAAAATGCATCCTCTCTCCTCGACAGCTTGGAGAGAATCACAGAGAAAAACAGGAAACCAGTGTACGTCACATCCAGTCTCCCTTTCCCGTGAGAAACTCCAACAGTACAGACTGTGGAATGTAAAACAATGTCTTGTGACTGCAGTTGCTGCTCAGTGAGGGAAATAGAAACCAACATCCTCCCCCTTTCTGTGAACATCACTGGGCAGCGTGTTTGCACAATATCAGTACAAACCCAACTTCTGCACATAGGTACAGTGTTGATCCCTTGATACAATCTTGGACAATACATCAGCAGGAATTTCATTACCTGGCATATAGGACACCGTTACGAGTCCCTTCTGAATACATTCCCTAGCATGCTGCAACTTTAATTGCAAGTGCTTTGTGCTTTGCTTACAACCCTCAGACTTCAGCAAAGCCAAACATGCTTTGTTGTCCTGGTAAACCTGGATTGGACATTTGACAGGAATTTTCATATCTTTGCACAATTGTACTAACCATTCACAATCCTTAAGTGAATAAGACAGTGCATTCAGTTCAGCTTCACAAGTACTTAAGCTAACTGTTGTTTGCTTCTTGCATGACCAATCAAACAGACTTTGATTGTACATGTAGCAAACTCCAGACGTACTTTTCCTGTCTGTAGCGTCACTTCCAAAACTTGCATCTGCAAATATCTCAAGACCACCAGACTTCTGATTGTTAAATCTCAGTCTGTAATGCATAGTGCCTTTCAAATACCGCGCTATGCGTTTCAGAGCTTTCCAATCCTTGACACTAGGATTGTTGACTTGTCTGCTTAGCAAATTACAGCTAACAGCAATGTCTGGTCTTGAACATCTGGCAATGAAGTTTAGCTTGCCTAGCACACTCCTGTACAGTGTAGTGTCAGAAAATGCTTCTTCAGTGTCATCTACCTGATAACCTGTTGTCATCGGTGTGTCTACAGGGTTAGCATCCATCAGATTTAGTTTGCTTAACACATCAGCAATTTTCCGTGACTGGTGTACTAGAATGTTACCATCTTGATCTCTCTCTATTTCCAGAGATAGGTAGTTGTTTACCTCACCAAGATCTTTCATGTCAAAGTGCTCTTTCAGTTGAGCTAGGGCGCTATTGTACATTGCAACATCTTTCCAAAAGAATAATAAATCATCAACATAAAACAAACAGTACAGTTTCTTTTGCCCCTCCTCTTTGACAAATACACATGGATCAGCTTTCCCTTGCTGAAAACCTAGAGAAAACAATACTTCAGTGAGTTTTGTGTGCCAACACCGTGCACTTTGTTTGAGACCATAAAGGGATTTCTTCAGAGCACAAACAAATCCCTGTTTTACCTGTAC